AAGAAAACAAACAGATCCATCCTAGAGAGGGTTAAACCAGGCTACTCCTTGGAGGCAAGGATTCTGGGGCTTCATCTGACATACTTTGGACGAGTTGTAAGGAGAGACAGATCCTTGGAGAGGGACATCATGCTTGGTATGGTAGAGGGACGGCACAGGAGGGGAAGACCTTCTATGAGGTGGATTGATTCAGTGACTGGGGTAATCGGGATGGGTGTGCCAGAGGCAATGCCATTGGCACAGGATAGAGCAGGGTTTAGGGCTGTTGTACATAGGGTCGCTATGAGTCGCAAATGACTCGACGACACATAACAAGAACAACATAGATTTTTAGTCTATATTTCTCCTAATTTATTAGATTTGTCTTTTGTAGCCAACATACTGATGAGTCTTTGGGGTTTTTTATCCAATCTGCTACTCTCTTACTGTTAAATGATGTATTTAAACCATTCACTTTGAGTGTGATAATTGACAGACTAGGTTTTATGGTTGCCATTTTTCAGTGTTCCTTTCTTTGTTGTTTCTGGTTAGTTTCGTCAGTACACTTTCCTCTCCTCTCTCTGTGTAAAGAACTTTCCTTAGTATTTCTTGTAAAGTTGGCCTTGTTTTCACAAATTCCTTCAGTTCCTACTTGTCTGCAAATGACCTTATATCTCCTTCATATTTGACAGACAGCTTGCTGGGTACAGAATCGTTGGCTGGCAATTATTTTTTTCCACCCTTCTGGGTACAATATCTCATTGTCTTTTTCAATGATATCTGCTGAGAAGTCAGAGCTTAATCCAATTTGTTCTCCAGCTGCTTTTAATATTCTTTTATATTGGACAGTTTGACAATTATAAGTCTTAATGTTTTTCTTTTGTGATCTAGTCTGATCGATATTTGCTGAGCTTCTAAAATGTCTGTTTCCTGAATTTTCATGATACCTGGAAAGTTTTCATCCAATATATCTTTTACGTTTTTTCTATGATTTTTGTTTGTTTAACCTATTGTTTTGTAATTACAATCACACATCCATTGTTTCATTTGATTTTATCTCACATGATTCTAATGTTTTCTTCATTCTTTGTTCTATCTCTTCTATTCTGCTGCTGTTTTTCTCTCCCATCATGTTATGAATTTCTGCCTAAATTAAAATGTTCTATATTTTGGATTGGATTTCCATGCTTTTCTGTTGTTTACACTACTCTCTTGCTTGTATTCTCTCTGTTTTGTGATAATTATTCCCTTTCTTGTTGCTCTGTACTTATGGTTCAACTCTTTCTTCCAACATTTGCAACTTTTCAATACTAGTTCTTGGAACTCCACACTGGCATATTTCTTCTTTTCCCCTGTCTCTGAGGTATATGTTAGGTCCTCGACATGGTCTGCTTCTTTATGGTAAGGCTTGTTTTGTTCTTTTTTTCATAATACTTGATCCTGCCTGCTGCTTTTTTTACTCTATGTGAGGTGTATGAGGTTTAATGTTTCCACTCTGAGTAGACAAAGCCTCTGAAGAGAGCTTGGAATTTCTTACTGATCCTGTCAGGGACCCTTCCATCCCCAAGTCTCAGGGTTTCTACTCTGCTAAAAGTGTATCTGGGTCTTCCTCAGAGCCTGGATGGAAGTAGAATCTTCCACCATAGTCACCAGTGCCTCTGTGTAGATCTGGGACCTCCTCAGGGAATGCTTCCCCCTGAGAAATGCAGTCCAGCACCCTTCCATCCCTAAAATTCCATAAAATGTTTGGTAAAGAGGAAAATTTCAAAAGGCAGCCCGGGATGACAAAGCAAGATACTATAATGAAATGTGCAGAGAGCTGGAGTGAGAAAATCAAAACGGCCGAATTCGCTCAGCGTTTCTTAAGCTGAAGGAGCTTAAAAACAAATTCAAGCCACGGGTGGCAATACTTAAGGATACTGGGGGTAGAACCTTAAATTATCCAGGAAGTATCAAAAGAAGATGGAAGGAATACACAGTCACTGTATCAGAAGGAATTGATTGACACAGAAGAATTTCACAAGATGACATATGCGCAAGAGCCTATGGTGATGAAAGAGGAAGTTTAAATTGCTCTGAAGGAATTGGAAAAAAACAAGGCTCCAGGAGTTGATGGCATATCAACTGACATATTTCAACAAAAAGACACTGGCCTGGATGTGCTCACTAAGTTGTGCCAAGAAATCTGGAGAAGAGCCAGCTGGCTTACTGACTGGAGAATATCAAGAAAGGTGACCCAACA